TCCCTCGGTACTGACCCTCTAACAATGCAGCATTCCCTCGGTACTGATCCTCTAACAATGCAGCATTCCCTCGGTACTGATCCTCTAACAATGCAGCATTCCCTCAGTACTAATCCTCTGACAGTGCAGCATTCCCTCAGTACTGACCCTCTAACAATGCAGCATTCCCTTGGTACTGATCCTCTGATAGTGCAGCATTCCCTCAGTACTGATCCTGTGACTGTGCGGCACTCTCTCAGCACTGACCCTGTGACAGTGCGGCACTCCCTTAGTACTGACCTTCAGCAGTGTGGCATTTCCTCAGCACTGAACCTCCGACAGTGTGGGGCTCCCTCAGCACTGAACCTCCGACAGTGCGGGGCTCCCTCAGCACTGACCCTCCGACAGTGCGGCGCTCCCTCAGTACTGACCCTCCGACAGTGTGGCGCTCCCTCAGCACTGGTCCTCCGACAGTGCGGCGCTCCCTCAGCACTGGCCCTCCGACAGTGCGGCAGTACCTCAGTGCTGACCCTCCGACAGTGCGCGCTCCCTCAGCACTGACCCTCCAACAGTGTGGCGCTCCCTCAGCACTGACCCTCCGACAGTGCGGCACTCCCTCAGGACCCTCCAACGGTGCGGCACTCCCTCAGCACTGACCCTCCGACAGTGCGGCAGTACCTCAGTATTGGCAATGACATCAGCAGACTGGATTATGCAGTTTAATTCTCCAAAATGGGACTTCAATCCATGATTATCTCGCTCAGAGGGCAGGACAGTGACCAGTGAACCACAGCTGGTTCTGCTCTGGCAGAATCAGTAAAATGCCAAAACCATCAACTCCCTCACTTTGGATACTTCCAGATTGAGTCTGAATGGCTCAGGAAGTGAGTCCCTTATCTTCCTGTGAATTTTTACTTCCATCTTTCCCAGTTTGTCTATTTCCTACTGTAAAGAAATGAAGCACACGAGTTCCAAGATTAGAAAATGGCCAGTTCTTTGCAGACCATCTTCAGCTATCCTGGTAATCACATGATAAGCTGGTAATCATAAGAACATAAGAATTACAAGATGGAGTTGGCGAGTCAGCCCCTCGAGCCTGGTCCACCATTTAGTTTTATCAAGGCCGATTTCATCTTGGCATTGACTCCAGTTTGCTGCCCGCTGTTCATAGCTTTCAACCCATTACTAATGAAAAGTCTGCCTATCTCCTCACTAAATTTACTCCATGTCCTGGCTTCTACTGCTCTCCATGGTAGTGAATTCCACAGATTCTCCACTTTTGAGAGGAGTAATTTCTCTTCATTTCGGTTTTAAATCTGCTACCCCTTATCCTAAAACCATGAAGTCTTGTTCTAGATTGCTCCACAAAATAGGAAACATCCACTTTATGTCTACTTTGTCAATCTCCTCCAGCATCTTATACAACTCAATTAGATCTCCTCTCAGTACAGAGACTATCGGCCTGAACTGCTCAATCTCCCTTCATAAGAAAAACGCCTCATCTCTGGAATCAATCCGGTGAAGCTAATCACAGCGATGAGCCTTTTACAATCAGTCTCCAACAGGACCATGAGGATTCATGGCCTAATGGTAGCATTGCTGCCTTTGGACCAGAAAGCCTGCGTTCAACTTCCACCTGCTCCAGAGGTGATTCTGAACATCTCTCAACAACAATCCCACAAAACCGCTGATTTTGGAGGAACTTTGGACAAGCTGTTTCACTCATGCTGTACTTCCTGCACTGGGTAGCCTCTTTACCTTTAGGATCAATTCTCATTCCTAGCCCATCTACCTCCTTCCTACTATCCCCAGGGTTGAAAAAGTGTGTGACGACACACCACACAAAGCATATCTGATGTCTCCAGTTGCTGCCATATTGGTCCGAGACTATTGATTCCCGAAAAAAAAGTTCTTCCACTTTGCTTTTGAATGAACTAGCATTAATTGCTGTCATTGTCTCCCTCAGGAGTCTGAAGTGTGCACAACAATAAAAGTTCATTTTCAACCTTCAACACACTGTTTTGCACACTATTGTTTCTACCCCTCTGGGTCATAGTACATAGCATTGATAGTAATAGCAACAGGCTATTTGCCCCAACAGGTTCCTACCACTCCTCTTCCCAGCCCTCTCTTCTTTGCTCCCCATCAGCCTATCCTTCTATTCCTCTCTCTGTCATGTGTTCACACTGCTTTTCCCTGAACACATTGACATAATTCCCCTTGACTTTTTCCACTCTGCTCACTCTCTAAAGATGTTTCTCCTGAATTCCCCGTTGGATTTATTAGCAATTGACTGATATGGACAGCATCCTAGTTCTGGTCTCGCCCCTGTGACGGGAACATTGTCTTTACCGCGACTCTTTTGTAATGTTAAAGAGCCATGTTGGGTCATCCTTCAGCTTTCTGTTTTCTGTTGGAAAGTACTGCAGCCTGTTCAGTTGTTGCTGATAGGTGGAACCTTGCAGTTTCAGCCTTGTCAATCTATTCAAAACTTCCTCCAAATCCTTTAATATAACAAGGAGACTGGAACTATGCACAGTGCTCCAAGTCCGGTCTAATCCAGATTGTATATATTGGAGTGTCCATATAGGTTTAATGCATCTTTTCTGCTTTACACATCTGTAGAGTGTAGTCTCACTCTCAGAGTGAAAACATGATGGCTCCTCCTGTTTATCGGGCTTTGAGACTGAATTCCAACATCACTCAGAAAAAGCCTACTTCCCAGTGCTGAAACCATGGATGGTATACCATGTGACAGGAAAGTAACAGCAGAAAGTGCTGGAGAAACTCTGCAGGTCTGTGGAGAGAGAAACACTGTAAATATTTCGAGTCCAATGGAACAGATAGGAAAGTGAAGGCTCAATTCCATCACTGCCTGCTGGCAGAAACAGATCTGTGTCAAGGCCACCGTAATACCTAGTGAGAAAATCAATGGGGATGAAGAAGTGGTGGCCGGTGGAGGTAAAGAAAGGGTCAGAGTTATAGCTGCTTTTAAAAGCAAAATTGGAATTGACATATTGCAGACGTTGACCTTTAGCTGTCAATAATTGAATCTGTCTTCACAGCTACTTAAGAAACACTGTGGCGTGGGCTCAATAAAATGACCGCTGTAATAGCTAACTATACTTGGGGTCATATGTAAGAAAGAGTTCTTTGGGGTTTAAATGGGGTGTGTTGCTAAGACCATCTTAATGCGTGTTGAGTTTTAAAATTGCGACCATATTTCACCACATCACATACCTTAGAGAATGGCTGAAAATTGATAACAGTTTTGTTTTTATGATTTAAGGACTAACTTACCAGAGATCGAAGTTGCTCTACACTACAGCTGTTAAGGTCTCCCTCCATGTCTAGGCTGTATAAAGTTGGAAATAGTTTACACTGGATTTCTGCAGATAGGTCTGAGACTCACCCATCTCATGGTTTCGGTCTTTGTTTTATTTTTCCTCTCAGGACTTTCTTAATTTATGTCTTTTGTTCCTCTCTATCTGCTGCTTAAGTTTTCTAATCTTATTGGGTGACTAACCTCTCTTGAAGCTACACTGTGAGGCTGAATGAGACGGCAACTTCCTTCCTCCTGCAACCACAGTACTTATGCTATCTTGAAAAGTCAGATCTGCTTGCGTCCTCACCTTGTTTTTCTGTTGACTTCTATGGGTGCGTTGACACTTCAGTATCTCTGACTGCTTCTGTGCAGCTGTATACGCTAACTCTAGTCAGGTACGTCTCGGCAGGTCAGAGAGCTTTGAGACCAGCTACACTTCCAGCGTCCTGTAACTGCTTTTGAAGTGCCTTTGATGTCCAGAGGCCATTTTAGACCAATACGGATGTATTTCTCATTCATAGTATGGGCTGTCTAATCACCAACAGAGCAGTGTGCAGATACTTAACAACACCACACTGGGTGTGTAAGAGGAGTGCAGTATCCACTGGATGTATACAGAGAGCGAGTGTGCAGTATATGTATTGGGCATATGCAGAATGTGTACAGGGCATGTATGGAATGTGTACTGGGTGTGTGCAGAATGTGTACTGTGTGTGTACAGAATGTGTACTCTTGTGTAGAATGTGTACTGGGCGTGTACTGAATGTGTACTCTGTGTGGACAGACTGTGTCCCGTGTGTGTAGAATGTGTACTGGGTGTGTACAGAATGTGTACTGGGCGTGTGCAGAATGTGTACTGGGTGTGTACTGAATGTGTACTGTGTGTGGACAGAATGTGTACTGGGTGTATGCAGAATGTGTACTGGACGTCTACAGAATGTGTAATGGACGTGTACAGAATGTGTACTGGGCGTGTACTGGGCATGTACTGAATGTGTACTGGGCGTGTGCAGAATGTGTACTGTGTGTGGACAGAATGTGTATTAGGCGTGTACTGGGCATGTACTGAATGTGTACTGGGTGGGTGCAGAATGTGTACTGGGTGGGTGCAGAATGTGTACTGGGCATGTACTGTGTATGAAAGTGTGGACTGTGAATGTCTGCTTGTGTGTGTTGAATGTGCAGTTGGTGTGCTATGTGATTGACAGCTGTCTGTGTGTACCGCTGACAGTCAGTGTGCAGGAGTGTGAGAGATCCCTGTGTGTATCTGATTGAGTGCTGTCTGTGTGTGCCTACCGCTGATGGTCAGTGAGAGAGAGCCCTGCATCTATTCTGGGGATGAGTGACTACAATCCATGTCGGTGATGATATTCAACATGAGCCCTCCATATTCTCTTCAACGAGCTTATTAAGAAATTCTTTTAAAATAAATGGTCCTTGAAATACTCAGCAGTTCAGGCAGCCTCTTTAGAGAGAAGCAGAATTAATGTTTCACTTTGAGATAATGTTTTCATCAGAATCAGTCCGATAATAGATCTGTGCAAGCTGAAGTGTAACCTCTGATTATGCCCACACAGGCTGCCTACCAGCTGAGTATTTCCAGCATTTTGTCTCTATTCATTTCAGATTTCTGGGATCCACAGCATTTGACTTTAACGCTGCATTCTCTCTTGAATGCCATGTTGGATTTATATATGACTAACTTATGTTACGGTCCCTCAGTTCTGGTCTACCCACCATGCAAGTGGAAACATGATTACATTTACTCCATCAAACCTTTTCATCATTTTAAAGACTCAATCAGATCACACTTCAACCTTCTCTTTTCTCAAGAGAAGAAGCTCAGCCTTTCCTGATCATTAGAACCTCTGACACGGACCTTGTAAATGAAAGGACACTGATTGCATTAATCAAAGTTCTGTTTTTATTTCAACAACAATGCAATTTTTTGATCCTGTTCCATAGATCTGTAAATTAGTCCTCTTAAGTGTATTTATTCAAAAAAGGAGGGAAGCTGGAAACTATAGGCCAATTAACTCTTGTCATAGGGAAAATGTTGCAGACAGTTGTGAACACAGCCCAGTCCATCACACAAACCAGCCTTCCTTCCACTGTCTCCGTCTATACTTCCCGCTGCCTCGGGAAAGCAGCCAACATCATCAAAGACCCCTCCCACCCCGGTTAAACACTCTTCCCCTTTCTTCCATCAGGCAGAAGATACAAAAGTTTGAAAACACATGCCAACTGATTCAAGAACAGCTTCTTCCCTGCTGTTATCAGACTTATGAACAGACCTCTCATGTTAGAGTTGATTTTTCACTGCACCTTCTCTGTAGCTGTAACAATATATTCCGCATTCTATTCTATTACTCTGATGTACCTGTGTAAGGTCTGATTTGTCTGGATAGCACACAAAATTGTCCTTTTCACTGTATCTCAGTACATGTGACAAAAATAAATCAAATCAAATCAAATGTTAGAAGTCGGTATTAATACCATTATAGCAGGACACTTAGAAAACTTCAAGGTAATTGGCAGAGTCCACGTGGTTTAGTGAAAGGGAAATCATCATAAAGCAATTCATTGGAATTCTTTAAGGGAACAACATGTGCTGTGGATGTACTGCACTCACATTTCCAGAAGGCATTTAACAAGGTGCCACATTAAAGAAGACTATGGCAAATAGAAGCTCATGAGGGTAATGTATGATGTAGTAGAAGAGTCACCAGCTCACAAAAAACAAAGGGAGTAGGTGCAAATAGTTCCTTTTACTAGTTCACAAAATGTAACAAGTGGTATAGCACAGGGCTCAGTGATGGGGCCACAATGTTAGGAGATAGCAAGATGCTGGAGTCAGAGTCGATACAGCGTGGAGCTGGAGGAACACAGCAGATCAGGCAGCATCAGAGGAGCAGGAAACTCGATGTTTTGGGTTTACCACCTTCATCAGGACTGGAAAAGGGAAAGGGAACTCGGAAATAAATAGAGGGAGGAGGGTGGGGCTGGGTGAAGGTAGGCGGGACTGTGATAGGTGGATGTAGGTAGACGGTGGTGGGGATTGGTGAGTGGGATGGGTGGGGCGGATGGGTGGGAGAGAAGATGGACAGGTTGTGTCAGGTCAAGGAGGCGAGAGGGAGGGTTGGACATGGGATGAGGCTGGGGGTGGGGACATTTTAAATCTGGTGAATTCTATGTTTAGGCCATGAGGCTGTAAGCTCCTGAAACAGAATATGAGGTGCTGCTCCTGTTTGTGTCATTGTGGCACTGGAGGATTGTTGCCCAGGGAGTGGGAGTGGGAGGGGGGTGGTTGGCGACTGAAAGGTGTTGATTATAGCGTAGGTGCGCAGGTGCTCGGCACATCGGTCCCCGAGTCTGCGCTTGGTCTCACTGATGTAGAGGATGCCACATCGGGAGCAGCGGATATGGTAGACCAGATTGGAGGACGTTCAGGTGAGCCCCTGTCGATTTGTATAGATTGTTTGGTGCTTTGGGTGGAGGTGAGGGGGGAGGTGTCGGTGCAGGTGTTTTACCATTTACATAAAGTACTTGGATGGTTCTGTCCGAGGAGCCTTGGTGATTGGTTGGAGTGCATCTTACACATTGCTGCCACAAGCAGGTTGTTTAGTAAATGCCACTGATAGCCCAGTCGATGACCTTTGCAGACGGTTGGGAGTAGAATGATAGGTTGGAACTTGGCTGCTTGGATTTATCCTGCTTCCTGTGTTCAGGACATCCTGGCCATTTTCCACCTTGTCATCTTGATGCCAGTGTTGTACCTGTGGTAGAACAGCTTGGCCAGCACATGACTGGAAGTATTGTCGGAATATTGTCCGGGCTCACAACCTTTGCAAGATCCAGCGCCTTCAGCTGTTTCTTGACATCATTTGCAGCAAATCAAATTGACTGAAAACTGGAATTTCTGATGCTCTAGACATCTGGAGGAGGTGATTTCTGGCTGAAAATAGTTGCAAATGTTTCACTCGAGACTTTTGCAGCACAATGATGTCCTGGGCTCCCCCATCATTATGAAAGGGGATATTGGAAATCTCCTTCTCTGAGACATTTAATTGTCTATCACCATTCATGACTGAATATAGCAGGACTGCAGAGCTTAGATCTGATCTATTTGTTATAGGGTCACTTAAATCTGTCTGTTGCTCACACCGCTTGGCACACACGTAGTCCTGTGACCTGTGTGAGCTGAAGGACAGGGGCAGAAGATTCATGTGAGCAACGCCTCTGGCAAATTCTGCTCCAAGTCATGACCTTAAACTATATTGCTGTTCCTTCACAGACACTGGGTCAAAACGAGTGAAGCCCTCCCTAACAGCAGTGTGGGTCTACCTACAGCATACACCACCACCTTCTCCAGAGCAGTTAGGGATGGATGATAAATGCTAGCCTTGTCAGTATTCTTGTTAGAGAGAGAATCTTATCCCAGAGTGTCAGGATGGGAAACTGGAGAGAG